CCAGAGAGATTTTTATTCCACAATTAGACTTTAACATCAATAAAATCTTAGATATAACAATGCAGATGAACAATTTAATTTGCATTGAAATAAATATTAGACATACAAAGCACATACAGTGAAAAAGGGTCACAATAAATTACAAGTAGAGACATTATTTCCCTCAATCACCAAAGAAAGCCCTTGATACTTCCAATTTCACACCATCAAATTTATCATTCTTGCTGATTTAAGCAGAACACAAAACAAATATGGATCCCAGGGCTTACTTTCACAGGTACCAGCATGGATAATTTACTACCGTGATCCAATTTGGAAATCAGTAGGGACCAGTAAATCGCTGCATAAAAGAAAGAGTGAATGAGGTCCTTTTTCCTTAGTGTCAGCAGGCTATGATTATTATGTTTATTAGATTTTCTTGAAAGGACTTCACATTTTCTCAGATATGCAGGAGAACTATATTTCCCCTCTGAGCTCTACATTAGCATTTATGTGCTTTGGTCTTGAATACAGGGGAATGAATTTTTCAATTTATTTTATAAATTTATATAGTCGGATAGCATTGGCCTGACGAATGTAACCCTCCAACCTGTACAATATTAGATATTAAAAATGGATTCAAGAGAAGTTACTAAGAAATGCTGACATACTGTCTATACAAATTTTTAGTTCAATATATGCCATTATATAAAGCACCAAAAGTAATGCATTTATAAATCAAACCATTTTTTATGACCCTGTTTCTAATCTTTGTAACCCTTTTACATTTGTTCCAATATACACACATCATAAATGATACTTGCTCAACACTTCACTGATTTGGTCTCAACTTAAAAAAATACATATGTAGGCAAAAATTAATGTCAAAAGGAACTGTTCTAACAGTTACAAGAGAAAATAGTAAATGTTTGGAACTAAACTGTCATGAACCAAGAAAAAAAAGGTTAGTTTCAAAGTGCTAAGCATATCAAGTGAGTAGCTTCAGAAGGCTAGATAGAATGAAATGATTCTTAGGCCATTCTTTCTCCTGGAATATGAGCTAACTGTTAGATCTCAGCAAAGATATCCACCTATAATTTTTTTCCTATTGTTTTCTAAGAAAGGAATCTGCTTTAGATTTTAAAATACTGTGCTTTCTTATCTGTTGTGACATCAACTGACATTGCAGGTCAGATTTCCTACATGCACAAGAGGAGAAAGGCTATAGAGTTAATCCATCACACTTGAATATGTTCCTTCTAAAGAACCCATGTGAACATCGCCTTAGAACATAAACATTTCCTAGAATAGTTATTACCAGGAAACCTCCCAAACTCTTAGCAGCTCCTTTCTTCTCCTTCATAGAAGATCCAATCATAACTTTCTACCCTGAATATAAGACTGCTCCTTAAAACAATCTCTGGAAATAACTCCTAGATTTACACAGGTATGCCTTTGGTATACTAAATGTTGAGCTATAATATCATATAGTCTCTGGAATTCTCCTAATCCTAGAGAATTCCAGTGAGTTGTTAAGGGAAACTAGTTGTCTCAGCCAGGCTTAGTGGTTCACACCTATAATCCCAGCACGTTGGGAGGCTGAGGAGGGCAGATCACTTGAGGCCAAGATCAGCCTGACCAACATGGTGAAATCCTGTCTCTACTACAAATACAAAAATTAGCCAGGCATGGTGGTGCATGCCTGTAGTCTCAGCTGCTAGGGAGGCTGAGGCATGAGAATCGCTTGAACCCAGGAGGCAGAGGTTGCAGTGAGCCGAGACTGCACCACTGCACTCTAGCCTGGGCAACAGAGAGAGAATCTGTCTTAAAAAAAAAAAAAAAAAGAGAGAGAGAGAAACTAGTTGTCTCTATAAGCCAAGCTTAATTTTCAAATCTAGGTACCATTCCTCATATAATATCTACAAATTTTATATTACTATCAAAAGTCTAAATTTTAAGAGGTTGAACTGGCTATATCTAGTCTACCTACAAAATTATAATGAAAACATTTTAAGTACTATTTTCCTACACATCTGAAAATGAAGGAGAAAGTACAATTTTATATTAGTGTGTTTCGGTGATTTAGGCACTTAGCATGAAAAGAAAAAACTGGATAGACCACAATCTTAATGAAGTCACTCCAAATTGGGCCCTATTTTACTGTTTTCCTAGAAAGCACATATTGACAGGGTACTTCTTTTGAATAATTCAGTATTTTAAAAATGTAGGCTAGGTGTGGTGCCTCAGGCCTGTAATCCCAGCACTTTCGAAGGCCGAGACGGGCGGATCACGAGGTCAGGAGCTCAAGACCAGCCTGGTCAACGTGGTGAAATCCCGTCTCTACTGAAAATACAAAAATTAGCCAGGCATGGTGGTGGGCACCTGTAATCCCAGCTACTTGAGGGGCTGAAGCGGGAGAATTGCTTGAATCTGGGAGGTGGAGGTTGCAGTGGGCTGAGATGGCGCCATTGCACTCCAGCCTGGCCAATAAGAGTGAAACTCCATCTCAAAAACAAACAAGCAAGCAAACAAAAAATGCTTAATATTTTTTCAATCTTGAATGATTACATATTTAAAAGAGTGATGGAATTCAGGGACTTAGTTTTATAGCTGACTCAGCACTTTTGGTGGCATTTAACCTTCAAACACACCATGTGAAAATGGGGGGCTACCTGAGGAAAGAATGCCACCTACTGATTATAAACGTAACTGTCCGTGGCTACTTCTTCCTTGAAGTTTTCATTTCAAAGTGTCAAAATTAGTCTAATTTGTGTGACAGCTTTGAGACTGTCAGATTCTAAGGAGGTTGAGGAAGGAAGAGGTGGTAGTCAGAACAACTATGTTAATCAAAATAAACTCCTAAGCATTAGCATTAGTTAAGGTTCTTCACCTCAATCTCTCAAAATTAATGTTATTTTGAACTAAAACTTTAAAAACAATCTCTCAGTTCTACTTGTCTTATTACACATATACTCATCTTCTTTTCCAGAAAAAATAATATTCATGTCCTAAACTTAGAAACCTAACCTGAAGTTTTGATCTGGATTTTTAGGAAGAAGGAAGTATTGATAATTTCATCATTCTTAGCTCTATAACACAATCTATTAATTTTTCATAATTTTTAGTTTAATATTATAGCTGGCCTTGATGTTCTCTGTAAAGGACATTCTTAAATATTCAAGTCTAACTTTCCTTTTTTCTTTTTTTTTGAGACAGAGTCTCGCTTTGTCACCCAGGCTGGAGTGCAGTGGTGAAATCTCACTGCAAGCTCACTGCAAGCTCCGCCTCCCAGGTTCACGCCATTCTCCTGCCTCAGCCTCCAAGTAGCTGGGACTACAGGCGCGCACCACCACGCCCGGCTAATTTTTTGTATTTTTTGTAGAGACAGGGTTTCACCGTGTTAGCCAGGATGGTCTTGATCTCCTGACCTCGTGATCCGCCCCCCTCAGCCTCCCAAAGCGCTGGGATTACAGGCGTGAGCCACCACGCCCGGCCAAAGTCTAACTTTCTTTAAAAATTCGCTTGCTTTCTTTCTTCCAGGAGGATCTACCTCTGAATTTTATTCCAAAAAAAAAAAAAAAACTAAACACAAATTGCACTTAATAAATTTCTCTTTAGACTAATATTAGAGTTTAAATTAATAAGGTACCAACTATACAAAAGGACAGAGAATCCTTGCTAAAATAAAGTAGATTTTGTATAAGGCTTCCATCTATCCAAAAAGGTTTAATATTTAAGTGCTGGAAGAACAATGGTACTACACCACTTCCTGAAGAATTAGACACTCTGGATGTTAAATGAACTTCTTTTAAACCTGTAATTAACAATAAGTTGAACGATGCAGTAAAGAGTTAATTTCTCTTACTACATTCATTCTATATATTGCTATTTTATTTCCTTAATTTTAATTTGATAGGTATACATGTTAACACTGTAATTTCAAATTCCAAATCAGCTGGTTGTAGATATTTCTATTGCAGAATTTCTAACTATGAGTTCATGCAAACTAAACATCTAGTAATGCTTAAATTGTAAAACTTACTTTTTCATGAGTTTAAGAGTACCTTTTTTGTATATTAAACCTTCCTTTAAGAAACAAATCTGTTTCAACTTGTCAAACATGAGTATATCAGAAATATTGTAATTCTGCTATAATGACACAAAACCTCAATTTAAAGCACAGTGTTGTTTTATATTGCAGTAGTTTTAATGTTAAAATTCTTTTTGTTAAAACCAACATGGATTACTGACCAATTATCTTGACCAACAGTACTTTTCAAAATAAAAAGGAAAAACTCAAAAAAGAGACACACAGATCTTTAAAAGATAATCATGATTTAAAAAAAAATCATGGATCATGGTATAAACAGAGCACACAAAAGGAAAATAAGAAATGAAAAAAAACTGTTGAAATTCAAATAAGTTTTATACTTCAGTTAGTAGTATTGTTCTGGGGCTAATATCTTACTTTAGATAAACGTTCTACAGTTATGTAAAATGTTAACATGAGAGGAGCTGAGTAAAGGGTATGCAAAAGAACTCTTCTAGGCCAGGCGCGGTGGCTCACACCAGTAATCCCAGCACTTTGGGAGGCCAAGGCAGGCAGATCACGAGGTCAGGAGATCGAGACCATCCTGGCCAACATGGTGAAACCCCATCTCTACTAAAAATACAAAAGTTTTGTATTTTTACAACACAGCTGGGACTACAGGCACGGTAGCGTGCACCTGTAGTCCCAGCTACTTGGGAGGCTGAGGCAGGAGAAGCACTTGAACCCGCGAGGCAGAGGCTGCAGTGAGCCAGGATCACGCCACTGCACTCCAGCCTTGGTGACAGAGAGAGATTCTGTCTCAAAAAACAAAAACAAAACAAAAAACCTCTCTTGTACATTTCCGACTCTTCTATAAATCTAAAAGATTTTTTTAAATTATAGGAAAAGTCTTCAGCTGCCAAAATTTCTTGACATAATTCAAGACTTCATTTTTAAAAACATAATTAGAAATCAATGTTATGTTTACTTAACATTATAGTCATTTTATTGCTCTAGAAAATTTAGTTTCTAAAACCATTAGATTACTTATACAGTGACAATAAGACTAGCCACATACACACAAAATCAACTGTATATTATGAGGCTGCTTCTCCAACTTTGTGGACAAATATTACAAAAATACAAAAATAGCTGATTATAGTTAGGCTATCAAGTATAATTTTTCATGTATTTATCCTAAGAATATCCCCTTTTTATAGATTAGGAAGATGAACAAAAATAAAACTAATGTTACTGATAAATTACTAATGAATGTATTTGAGAAATTCAAATTACATGCAGACAAAAACTGGTCACAAAAACCATTACACTACTCTACTAAAACTGTACAATGTTTTAAACATTTCCAATCATGCAACGGTAACGAAGATCAGCATGTATTTTATAAAAGAGTTGATGGGAGTTCAATGAACAGGATTTAACACATTTTACAACCCAAATCAAAGTTGCATAATACATCCAATTCCCCTAAATTTATCTATGCATTAAGAGACTGAAATGCACACTATTCCCCCACAACTCCTCCCCCTACTCCATTCCAATCAATTACCTTACTTATAAAACCTTCCATTTAACCTTTTAAGTCAGATTTGATGGGTAAACATGTAATCTACAGTATACTCTCCATTATTATTTCAGAAGAGACACACATATAGTCAGAGGCTAAATCTTCGTTACATTCCTTTCAAAAGGCATCTAAACTGTTTCAATGGTCAATGAAAATTTAAGCCTAAGAAACCAAGAAAACTGGCAGTCAAGATTCTGAACTAGGTAGTTCTACAAACTATAATACGAATAATCTATATGTCCGCATTAGTAAAAGAAGGATTTCCTATTTGAGAACTGTTTCTCAATGGCTCTCTGAAGGGAAAGCTGTGTCACTACTGCTTTCTGCTTTCAATGGCAAGGTGACCCCAAATATTTATCCAGTTGGCTAAGAGGCTTACAGTTGAGCCTTTTAAAAAATACTCAAGGCCACAGAAGTACTTATGGAAATAAAATTTTAGAAGGTCGTAGTTTAAGATACACAGAATTCTTCTTATAATAGTACATTCAAAACACATCTGTCCTAACAAAGCAGCATAAAACCAATTAAAAAACAATTTGAAATTAAATACACTGAGAAGTGTTAAAATCATTAACCAAAATTACTGAATGGTAGAATACTGTCTCAAAATGTACTGAATTCACATATGTTTATCACCATAATGAACTCATGCCAGATACAAACTCAGGTTACCAATTCGGTTGAAACAAATTTTAGAGCTATTTTTACAAGAGAAATAAATGTACTTCATGATATAGGCACAACAGCATCTTTTTTAAAAAATTGGTATGTGTATCACTAGATACAGACTTTTTAACCATTAGCAACACAGCGCAGTAAAATTTTCTCAAAACTTTTTAAGCTTGATTTAACATGCCAAGAAAATGATTATTTTTCCACTGAGATGCATTTATGTAAATTATGTAAATTGGATTGAGGTCAGTGTAACACCTGGAATTTACAACCCCTAGCAGAAGTACCAGCTGCTAATAATGCTTATACTATATTTGTAGCTTAACTAGATGTTAAACTACGGAACTGTTGGTGCCAATCTGCTTATAAAGGCAATGCTCTGGAGACAAAGTCTTCTCACAAACAGTGGGCAAGCAGGTTTCATTATTATGTGTTCAACAACAATCCTCAGTTCATTAAATAAGGTCCTGCAAGATAAAATAGTTTTCTTTGAGAAACACAAGGAAAAAGCAATACACAGGCTTACCTCATTTTATTGCACTCCACAGATATTTCATTTTTTACAAATTGAAGGTTTGTTACAACACCGCATACAGCAAGACTATCAGCGCCACCTTCCAACAGCATGTGCTCACTTCATGTCTCTGCGTCACACTTTGCCAATTCTCCCACTATTTCAAATGTTTTCATTATTACTGTATCTATTATGGTGATCTGTGATCAAGCTCTTTGGTGTTAGTATTATAACTGTTTTGGGGCACCAAAAACTGCACAAATATAAGACAAAGCACTTAATCAAGGCCATTTCTGGTTGGTCTCTTTCCCTCTCCTCAGACCCACCTATTCCCTGAGACACAATATTGAAATTAAGCCAATTAATAACCCTACAATGGTCTGTAAGTGCTCAAGTGAAAAGAGGGCTCCCATGTCTGTCACTCTGGATGAAAACTAGAAATGATTAAGCTTAGTGAAAAAAGCATGGCTAAAGCCAAGACAGGCCAAAAGCTAGACGCCTTGTGCCAAATAGCCAAGCTGTGAATGCAAAGGAAAAGTTCCTGAAGGAAATCAAAAGTGCTATTTCTGTGAACGGATGAATGATAAGAAAGCAAAACAGCCTTATTGCTGATAGTAATGCTATTGCACACTTAACAGACTACAGTAGAGTGCAAACATAACTTTTGTATGCACTGGAAAACCAAAAAATTCATCTGACAGCTTTATTGTGATATTCACTTCATTGTGGTGTTCTGGAACCACTCCCACGATATTTCTGAAGTATGCCTCTAATGCTAAACAAATGCTGATGAAGGAATATATCATAGCCATTAGAATTTTAAGTAAAAGAATAACTAGAATTCATTGTAGAGAAAACACAAAATACACACAATGAAATTCTCAAACTCAACATCTACATCTTTTATGGGTGGAAACACTCATTTAACAAAGGTATTTAATAAATGGCTAGCTCTAAAACCTCAGATTATATTTTTAAAATTATATATTTTGTCTTTAGAGTCACATTTTCACATTTAACTTACGCAATTTCAACTAGTTTTTTAAAAGAGAACAAGAAAAAATACATAACATGGGCACAGTTATATACTTATTCACCTACTATTTCCCTAAATGTACGTATTTTCCCTCAGAGATTTCCTCTTCTGTAAAATAATTCTGAGTTGTGGTGAAGTTTAAATATGACACAGATGTTCAGTAAATGTAACTTCCCAGTTGGATCATTACACTGAACTATGACTCTTTTATGCCTTCAGACTAAAGCCCAAGTCCTCAACGTAACACCCAATACCCTCCACAATCTAGTCTCCATCTAATTTTCTGTCCTATCTCCTGCCACTCCCTGCCTTCGCTCCTATCATGGACTTATGTTACATGTTTGTGCCCAAAACCATGTGGGCTTTGCCTGTGCCTTAACTGTGCTCACTGCCTACAAAGTATTATTACATACTGTACACATCACATACATTATACAGGCTAGTATACACAAAATCATGTATACTGTACTGACATTTATAAGTGATATAAAAGATCATCAAAGGTAATTTTAATCATTCACAATTTTCACCTTATGTGTTGACTCATCCTGTATAAAGATGCAACTCCTATTCTACCTTTCTGTGTCCTCTTTTACTTTTATGGTTAGAAAAAAAGCAACAAATTACTTTTCTAAACAAGTATTCAATATGCTTGCACAGAAAGACAGAAATAATAATATTTGGAGTAATGCATAATTTTCCAAAACCTGACCTTCCTGTATCTCCTGTCTTCGTGAGAGCACCATTACAACTCTCTTAGGCTTCCAGGCCAGAAAACCGCGGGTCTTTAACTTACTCTTTTCTCTCAAGCCCTAATATCCTACCTCCTAATACCTTCATATTTGTCCCCTTTTCCTTTTACCACTGGATTAGTTCAGGCTCTAGACTACTCTAACAGTCTCCAAATTGGTATTTTTCTTCTCTTGGTGAGCTTGCAATCCATTTTCTGGACTATTTCTAAATCACATTTCATCATGGGGGTTCCCAATCTCTCCATGTTACAATCTTCAAAGGCTCTCCTTATCTCAAAATAAAATCCAAACCCTTTCATGATGTAGTGCTTTCTACCATCTACCTTTCTGGACAGAAATATTTATCAATCCTCTATATACTTCCTGAGCTCAAGTATGCTAAGCACTTTTCAGGCACCCATGTGTCAGAACTCAGATTCATTCTTTAAAGATTTGGCTTATGTCCCCACCTCCTCAGTGAATTCTCATTTGTCTCTGTCTGTTCTCTACACTTTCAGAGCACCTTCATCATCACACTGACTTACATAGCTGTCTAATTTACTCAACAGTGAGTACCTCTGAAAGAAGATATTTTAATTCCACATAAGTTCATCAACATACAATCCCTGTTTTAACCAATCAGTCAAATGAATAAAGCTAGAAGATATGAGGACTAATGAAGTCAATCATTTTCACTAAAGTCACATAGCTAGTTATTTTATTACTGGCTGCATCACTGGCACAGACCAAGTCAGAAAGTTCCTTAACAGCACGGACGACAGAACTTTGAGCAATGATAAAATTGTTGCATATCTGTGCTGACAGACCAAGTTACAAGAGTTCCTTAATAGCACTGACAAGAGAACTTTGAGCAATGATAAAATTTTTGCATATCTGTGCTGACTCACAGTTTCCACCAGCAACATATGGCTTTTGAGTACCCACGTGAACTGTGCTCAAGGGAATTGAGTTTTAAGTTTTATGAATTTTATTTAAATGGTTAAATGTGGTTGCTGTGCTGTATTGGACAGCACAGCTATAGACAATCTGTACTAGATATCCAAAAAGAACTGAAACCACCAACTTGAGAATAAATATCATAGTGAAAATGGTACAAACTGTGAATACAGATGGTCTCAAATCCTTTAATTTAAAAAAGTGTAGAATTGAAAATATAGTTTTATAGCCTGTTTATCAATATTTACAAGTTGAAATATTTTCCATTACCTTTCCAATGGTTTTGATTAAAATGGGTGCTTGTAAGAGAGCTTTGAAGATGTTTACTAGCACATATTTGTGTTATCTTCATTCACCGCTATTCTTTCCTTTTCAGTCCTCTGAAAACTAAATTCTAGATGTACTAATATGATTTAAGAGTATATGGAGAAAATGGGAATGGAGAAGGAGGCACAAAGAAGCAGAGAAAAACAAATGTGCTGATTAAAATAACAGATGTCAGGGCAAAAAACTATAACATAATGTCTGAAATGAATATAGGGACCAGAAAGAAAAAAGGCTAAAACTCATGAAATCAAGTAAAAATGAATGTTAATTTGCTACCACAGACTCATTAAGAATGAATGTCTAAAGTAAGTTCTATTTTAGAAAGTATTATAAAAAAGACATTGTCTATTAGCACAAAAACACTCTGAACGGAAAATCAGATCATAGAATAATAAAAATAAACTAGTAAGAATGTAACAGTCGAAGTACTTTTAAAATATTACTTCACTTCACCCCCAGAAGGAGTTATTTCCTCTACCAGTGAAGAAATCCAAATTTAAATAACTTGCGTACTCACACAACTAGTTAATGATGGATCAGCATTCAAATTCAAGTTCTTTTTACTGTACTCATGAAAATATAATGTACAGATTGCTGTAACGCACTCATTGGATTTCTGGCTGAATTCTACTCCATTATTTTAAACTTGAAAATAGACTATGTTAATATTAGTATCTGAGTATCATTTTTAAAGCTATTAAAAACATCTATTCATTTTAGTTTTACTCCAATGCTTGAGATCAGAATGTATAATTTAGTGTATATTAATTTAAGCCTCCATTCCTGAAAACTACAGTAATTCCCTAAAATTTCTCTGCTTCCCCATTTTTCTGCTTCAAACTCTTCTGGCACAAGGCTATCAGAAGAATATCTGACCATGTCAAAACCATCATTCCCATTCACCTAAAAGATAAATTCCAAACATCTTACCCTAAAACTCAAGAAGTTTTATAATATGGCTCCAATATACCTTTCTAATCTTAGCTCCAGCAATTCACCATTCGGAATCTCCATTAGAGTCAAAACAGCTCTAAAAAAGTTCCTCAAATACGGCCTGTGCTTCTCGTCTCTCTTGCTCCTACTATTTCCCCACCTAAAATGGTTTTCCCTATTTTCACTATTCAAAAGTTTTATTCCTCCCACAATCTTAATTTTATGAAACCTTCCTGGGCTCATCTATCTTCTGGCCCAATGATATCTCCCTTCTGTGGACTGCAGTACTGATATAATAAAGCAAACGTATGGCATTCATTACCTACTGGATAGTGATACTGTATCCTAATCATTGTTTATGTAATTGACATGTGTTTTCTTCCTTCAACTAGGAAAGTTGAGAATGAAACCTATGTCTTACACATTTTAAAATTTGCTAAGTTTTAGCAGTGCTGTAGAGGTGGCGTAGATAACTGCAGTCTCTGTTTCCAAAAAGAAACACAACCACTTCCTCACCAACCCCCCAGTACATTCTAAGGCCTACAACTTAAAATTACCGAAACACTGCTTGCTTCTAAATTCTAACACATTAGCTAAGTAACTCTTAAGAATTATAAATACTATATATTCATAATACTCTCAACAAATAAAACATGCATAAAATAATCATCAGCTTACCGACAATATGGATTTCTTCGAGACGAATATCGAAGAGTAAGAAATCTATAGTATATAAAAGGTTGGAGCAAACTTCCTTGACCACTGAAATAAAAAAATACAAGAGTGATAAATATACATTATTAATTCATGTGTATGCTCTCAAAACTTAAAGGCAATTCAACTGGAGAATATGTGTATCTTCATCAAATGGTCATAATGAAATCTATCATGTCTAAATCCAAGTTATCTTTGGATATAAAAGAATGCATATGATTGGTAAAGAGTAAAATGTTAAATTTTTACAGATGTATTCTTGTATGTACTACTTTTGAAATTTTTTAAAATACCAAATAAATCAGAAAATGTTACATAAATACTTCCATAATTACTAATTGATGAAATCAAGTTGTAAATCTTCATAACATATGCAAATAAAAAGTGACTTATTTTATATATATTAAAAAAAACAAACACTCCCCCGCCAACCACAAAAATTACACTGGCTCATTAGTAAATCTACATAGCCTATACTAATTATTGTTCTTGGTTAAAAAACACAATTACAATACCCCAAGAATTATATATATGTTTATGAAATACCAAGTCTGGAATTCTTCCCTAAGAAAAACTATCTGAATTAAGACATTCACTGATAAAACTACAAACAAAATGTGGCAACAACCTAATGTGAAGCAGAATTAAACAACTTACATTATGGTGAAGCAGAATTAAACAACTTACATTACGGTTATTTAATAGATTTAACATGCAACTACCTAGAATCTTGGTTATGAAAATTACGTAGCAACTTTGAAAAAAGCAGAATATAAAACTATACATATTATTACAACTATATTTTTTAAATTTGAAGAAATATATCAAGATGCGAAATGTGTTTTATTAGGTTAATTTTTTAGCCTTTTCTTCTAAATTGTATTACTTTCGTAACAAAAATAATTTACACGATTACAAACTTACCGCTAAACAAATGCAACATCCATTTTCCCCAATAATTTGACAAATTTTTATCTTTTTAAAGTGTAAGAGACATAACACAGAAAATAGAAATAGAAAACATTCACTTAAAAAACAAGTTTCCCATCATACAAATTAGCCCTTTCCTCAAACTTATACCACAGTCTCAAATATGTCCTTTCAGAAATGTATATATACAAGTGTATATAATGACTAACACTAAGATAGTGCTCATTTTATAATTCACTAAATCTGTTTAACAACTCTAGGACAGAGATGGTTTATCATTCCCAAAAAACTGAGACAGAAACATATCTATGTCCTTACACACACACGCCCCACAAATATAAATGGAGAATACCCTACACAACTACGTTTAACTTATTATATCTTGGTGATTATCCCATATCACAATACATAAATTACCTAAATCTTTTTTACAGCTTCAAATATACCATCTAATGCTTGGACTATTATGTAACAAACTCCCTACTAATGAATATTTGGGTGGCTCCAGTCAATTAGAAATAAAACTACAAAGATATATATATATATATATAAGGCATTAACAGCTTTCCTAACAGGAAGTATAAGCTGATTTTAATTTTTCAACACAAACAAAATGATTCTCTATTTTAACATTTTCTGGTAAAATCTCATCTTCTTTACGAGTAATCTTAAAAATTAAGACAGGTAAGTTTGTGTACAAATAACGTTTAATTAAACATTTAAAGGAGCACAACTCAACGTACCAACGCAGTCAAAACCTGGGTGCTCCTAACAAAAATTCACTATCGTTCCAAAGGAAGTCTTTGTCTAAGTTTGCATGGCATCTCAAGAATTCATTAAAATTATCTCATCTGATTTAACAGGAGCATAGAGAAATTATTTGCGTTACTAAACAGAATCTGGAGGTTTCAGAATATAGATATCAATTAATAACTCATATAAAAAAAGCGTCTCAGTATCTACCCTTTTTTTTTTTTTTTTGAGAGAGTCTCGGTCTGTCGCCAGGCTGGAGTGCAAGTAAGCATTGGTCCTCTGGCTCCACTGCAACTC